TAGTTGATAAGCATGAGTGAGCATTCCAGGGACTGCCGAGGGTAGTCCCCCAGTTAATAAGGTTGAGGGCGTGGTCGCTGTTGATGAATGCCGACGATTGTCCCTGTATGCCGAGGGGTTCCCTGGTATTTTAGCCGGTGGCTATCCGCAGATGAGGGGGTTTGAAGGTGTGGCCCTCGGGGGTTCCCTGGTTCTCGACAGCTGAGGGGTCCTGAGGGGTTCACCCGTTGTTAAGCTGAGGGCTCCTTTTGAGGAAAGAGAAAGCCCGAAGGCATGCTTAGCGTTGTCTGAGGGGTGCCAGATGAGGGGACTTGGTCCGTGAAAGAGAGTCGTCGAGACATGACATTTGGAATATGATCGTTGGGATATAGCCGTTGGAGGTGATGTCCACGTGGCGTGTGTCCGTTTGTTGACTGCGGGCGGGTGCCACCGGTTGGCGGAGGAGGCGGCGTGTAATGATGATTTTTCCATCGGGGGCCCAGTTTTTTGGCCCAAGCCTAGAGTGGGAGGCCTATAAATACCCCCAAGGCCGGAAACCATCCCTTGTGCGATCATACTGTAGCGAAGCTCTGTCGAAATATTTCTAGAGAGAGAAAGTGCTAGTTCGATCCAATCTTCGTTCCTAAGGCCAGTTCTTCATCCGTTCTCCGCATTTGTCGCATATTCTGCTTCCTCGACCTTAGATTAGGTGTTAGTCGATCCTTAGGCCTTCCGTTATCTGTAACTCCTCGGTCTATTCCGTTAAACAATGTCGTCGGCTAGTGACTCCGAAAACCTGTCCCAAGAGCCTTCGGATCAGGCCGGGAGCTATTCAGACGTTGAGTCCTCGTTCGATCAACCTTCAGCGAATGATGCTGCTGCTGTGGCCATGGAAGTGTAGAGGGACCTCGTTGCCGAAGCCGAGACCAAAGAATTTGAGCAGGTGAACGAGGAGCTGGCCCTCGCCGTTCAGACTGCGGAGGAGGAGGAGGAGAAGGAGAGGCAAAAGGTCACCGTCGCCATCCTCCCCACACGTAATGCTGGAGAAACCAGCACCTCCCGGCCCCTTAACCCGATGCCGCTCAGAGTGGCCCCCGGGAAGAAGAACAAGAAGAAGATGGGGGCCCCCAAGAAGAAAGGGGGCGCTGTCGACCAGGGGACACCTGTGGGGATTCCCGAGGGGTATTCATGGCTGAATACTGCCGCCTTGAAGATAAACTCTAGAGCTGACCCGGCTGAATGCTACGTTACACAGCTGCACGTAGGGCCTTCGGCGACAGTGGTACAACCGGGGCCTGATGACGTGCTGTCCCGGGCGCCTGAGGGGTGCTTTGCTGTGCACATCCTCTCTGTCTCAATGGGCCTCCGGTTCCCATTGCACCCCTTCCTTCTGGGTCCCAAAGATCGCTATAAATGCATTCCCGAAAGCATTGAAACAAAGCTTATGCCTTTTCAGCGTGGGGGCATGTGCCTGTTAATTTTTTCATACAAGATGTATGCATTGGTTTATGGCATGTTTTGGGATTCAATGTTGTTCAATTTTCAAGTTCACTTGTGAGAATTAATAATGTTGATTCTCCCAGATTTGCCTTGCAACATGGTGCACGTGTCTTTTTAGCGGATGAAATGGGACTTGGGAAGACACTTCAGGAGGTATTCCTTTGACAAAAACTATGGCGTAGTTAAATCATGTTGTAGCTTAGAAGTGAGCGGTTTAAATTGTCATCAAGTTGATGTTATTTTATCTATATTTCCCAACTCGTGGCTATCTTTTCTGATAAATGAAGAAGGTTAGTTTAATCACCATTTTCTGTTCAACTGTTCAAGATCTGAAATAAAAGAAGTGAAATGAAACCTCAGTCTCATACTTATATTTTCACTGTTTTCTTAAAAATAAGCAAGAACTTCTCAAATGATGTATAATCAGCTTTCATTGGCTCAATTTATCTATGTTGAACCTGGTGAATTCTACATGTTGTTCCATCACCATTTATGTGATTGCAGTATTATGTTGGTCAGTTGGTCATAAGAGTGCCATCTGTTCTATACGAGTGCCATTGTAGGACTTCACAGCATGAGCCTTTACTATGGGGAGCTACTCTTTTTGTTTTTGTTTTCTCTCAGTTCCACTCTTTAAGCAATCATCTGACCACCCCGCGTGACATGATGTGTCTTCATCCTCCAGTGGCTTGATAGAAAAAAGTTGGAATTCACTGGGAGCCATCGCAGTCACCCAAGAGCTTGTCCCTCCAACAAAACCACTTACATAGAGTGCTCTCCACCCTCGGCGATCAGAGTGGTATATATTTTGTGCCCCGCTCTTGTTAGCACATTTTATAAAAAGCCATTATTTTTTCCATTGGTTTATACCAATGTTACGGTAACTCTGGATCTTGTCAATGATTTGGGTTTGTAAAAAGTGCACTTATGGTGTACAGTTTCTGGTTCAGGTGTCTCAAACCACATTTTTGGTATCCCTGTCTGTTGATTGAAATATATACCTTTGCTTTTAGTTCTTTACCTCCAGTTACTCTTGAAAATGGATTTATCACAAAGCCCTTTTATTTATTTTTCATGAGTAAACTGATTCAATATCTTCATGGCTCTTATCATTATCTTTTCAACTAATCTAATGGTTGTGCAATAATTGGAGATGCTAGGAGTTGGGCTAGTGTAACAAAAGGTCTGCACCTTCAAGCATCCTAAGCTTGCCCCCCCCCCCCCCCCCCCCCCCCCCCGACCTTTTGAAGGAACTCAAGTTAAACTACTCTCTCCAAACTGCCAATTAAATGAGCTAATATGATCGGTTGACATACGATGGAATGATCTATAACTATAAAAGCATGTGAACGAAGTGGGTTTTGAAAAGATTCTGAGTTTTGACTGTGATATATCATCTTAATATTTTATGATTGTAGATAAAACCTTTAGTCATGAGAACACTCATAAGTTGGGGCAACATAGTGCTTTGCTGTTCTTGATGAACAACACCTTTTAGACGATTTGTAAATGTAAATAGATTGGAGATTTGTTTCCTTCTTTTGGTTTTATTGGTAGTCTGGACAAAAAACGGAAGAATGCTTTTCGAGTAATTGTTATCCATTTAACATTTTCCAGTGATGCTTCCTATTTTTTACCATCAAGTTAATGATTTTTCGAATAGATGACTCCAACCAGTGCTCAACTTATATTTATAAATTTATGATAATAATGCTTTCTTTTGTACTTCTTCCAAATATTCTTCATCTGCACCTATAAAGATTCTTTTCAGCTGTCCATGCCAGTAAATTATATTCAACCCATGAGCAGGTGGTATTATCTCAAGTTAGTGGTTCAAATAGGGCAGGATTCAAAGTGGTGCCTTCCAATTCAAAGAGATCCATCCAACTTGATGGCCTCTTTAATATAGTTTCTTATGACACTGTTCCTAAGCTACAGGATACCTTAATGGCATCAGAGTTCAAGGTAATTGGTGCTGTGACACTTACCTTAATGGCATCATGAATAGGGAGATAGATTGGAATTCTTGACCAACTATTTCTGTCACTTTAGGAGCTCATTGCTCCCTGATTCACCAGCGTGCATTTTTGGACGATGACATGGAATTGTTTGCCAACTAATTCTTACTTATAGGATCCGGTTTATCCCTGGTTAAAATGAGCTGAATGCTTTCTGTAGGAGTTATCTTGTGCTCTATTTATTTAATGCTACTAAAAAGTGTGTGATTTGTTCCTCCCCCGTCAACAAATCATTAGCACTCATTCAAAATTGGTGTTTCCAGATGTCTGATAAAATAATTTAGTGATAATTTTTCCCAATGGAGATAAATTGTTAGAATGCTTATTTGATGAGAACAGAAAATAAAATAATCAACGGTTAGCAACCGTTGCCCAAGCTTAAAGCTAAAACTCCAATATTATTAATTGATGATTCCAACAGCCCTCCTTAGGGGTTTAAATAACCCTCTAAGTCTTGATAAGAATAGGAATCCTAATTAAACCATACTAGGAAACTAAATACAATAGGAAACCTCTAATTCTAATAAGAATAGAAGTCCTAATTAAACCATTCTAGGAAACTAAATAGAAATAGGAAATCTCTAATTCTAATAAGAACAGATGTCCTAATTAAATCATACTAGAAAACAAAATAAATTAGGAAATAAAATAAAATGAATAATTAAAATTAATTATATGGCCCCCAGCCTGCCCCCAAAGGTGGGCTCAAGCCCGTCCCCGCCCCCTACTCTCCCTGCTCTCTATCATTATTCTCTATCATTATTCTGAAAAAACTCTTTGGTTACTCTGCGTTTTTTCAACTAATGTCTGTCTGTGCGTTCAGGTAGTTATTGCTGATGAATCACACTTCTTGAAGAATGCCCAGGCTAAACGGACCAATGTGTCCCTTCCTGTAATGCGGGTAAGTGCTTGTCAAAAAGGGAAAAAGAACTATATAGAAGACCTTTTTATGTGTTTATGATGTGTCAGGAAATATGTGTTCAGTGCACGTGTATATCGCAAAAAAATATACGTTCTGCAAATTTATTATATATATAGTTATATTTAAAAGCAAAGTGATGCTTGCATAAAGTTATCTACAAATGTTTATGCTCTGGAAGCAGCTGTAGTCTGTCATTCACTCATTCCCATATGCTTTATATAACCAAATCTATAACTTAGCCTCATGCTTGTTTGTTATTACAAAAATGTCAAGCGCTGCATGCATCTCCTTTCCTTAGACTTGGTGAATTTAGGCTTTGCCCACTAGGTATGACTTCTCCTATTAGTGTCACATTGTGATCCCCTTCAGTAGTGATAGATAATAATGTATCTTTTCTCTTGCGTATGAGTTTCTCTAAAAATAAAGAGTGCAAAATCTTTATATATATAAAAAGGAGATCGTCTGCCCCATAACTGTTCCCGCCCAAGGAACTAAACGGTATCTACAAAACACATCCTGGGCACACGTGTCATATGGTGTAAAAATGCTAACAATATCAGAACACTCCTTAATTTCGCAATATATCTAAAAATTATGTACACACGTGGACAGTAAAATTAAAGCTCAGCAACTACACGTCTGGGCAACTCTGTATAATTATCAACCACCTGTGACTCTGTGAGTCTGTGACATATTTGAAAAGTGAAACAATTAATTGATAATTAATACAATTACCAATATTTTATAGTCCGCCGCTACTATTAGCAATTTTTTTATATGTAGTAGCACTCTCACGAATATATTTTATACCTATAGTGGGATTATATATATACATAATAGGGCAACACATTTTAATTTGTTGTTTTAAATTTAATAAAAAAACAGTTTGCCGAAAAGAGATACGTGACATTATTTCAATGAAGTGGGATGAAGGATTTCACCTAATATTGCTTCTAATCGTTTTTACCCACTTCAACAATCACTAAAATGAAGCCTTCAAATGACGATTCTGATGAACACTCTATCGGTGATACAGAGTATGTTCCAGAAGAGGAAGCAGTAGAGTAGAGTCTGAAAAGAACACTGATATCAACAACCCTGTATTCTCTGATGGGTATTCTTCGTGGACTCCCTTCATCCGATGAAGTCCACGAAGAATACCCATCAGAGAATACATAGTTGTCGATATCAGTGTTCTTTTCAAACTCTACTGCTTCCTCTTCTGGAACGTACTCTGTATCGCTGATATAGTGTTCATCAGAATCGTCATTTGAAGGCTTCATTTTAGTGATTGTTGAAGTGGGTAAAAACGATTAGAAACAATATGAGGTGAAACCCTTCATTTCCTAACCATAACAATAATAACTTGATTGTGCATATTAATTTCAATCCATCTAAACATCGACCCGTATAAACACCAGCCCTAGTCTATTTACATACTTCCCCTAGGCCCTAATTGCACATCTGGTTGGCTGCCCTCTCTTATCTTCCCCATCCACATTTGGACCGACTGCCTTCTTGCTACCGACTGCATCGCCGCCCTCTTGGTCTCTTCCCCATCCTATCCATATTCTGGTTCAAGATGTCCTCAAAACGTCACTACCGTAGAGTGTTATTTTCAGAAGGTGAACATGCAATTTATAGAGATATGGAACTGAGTATGTGCAACTGCCGATGGAGGTTTCAGAAACCGTTTAGTTCGTGCTAGAAACTGCTTCATCCCACTTCATTGAAATAAAGTCACGTATCTCTTTTTGGCAAACTGTTTTTTATTAAATTTAAGACAACAAATTAAAATGTGTTGTCCTACTATGTATATATATTATCCCACTATAGGTATAAAATATATTCGTGAGAGTGCTACTACATATAAAAAATTTGCTAATAGTAGTGGTGGACTATAAAATATTAGTAATTGTATTAAACATCAATTAGTTGTTTCTTTTTTCAAGTATGTCACAGAGTCACAAGTGGTTGATAATTATACAGAGTTGCCCGGACGTGTAGTTGCTGAGCTTTAATTTTACTGTCCACGTGTATACATAATTTTTAGATATATTGCGAAATTAAGGAGTGTTCTGATATTGTTAGCATTTTTACTCCATATGACACGTGTGCCCAGGATGTGTTTTGTAGATACCGTTTGGTTCCTTGGGCGGGAATAGTTATGGGGCAGACGATATCCTTTTTATATATATAAAGATACTCAAAACTACTAAATCCAAACAAAATAGTGTTTCACACATGGCATAACCAACTTAAAATTCTTTTAGAATTAAGATTTGAATGTTATTGTTGTTGAGAATATTTTAATAAACAAATGATACAAAATACAATATATTAATGTCCCGTGCATCGCACGGGTATAATACTAGTGATAATCAAATAGATTATGAAACAACGCACTTGAGTGAGACCCAACCCTTTTCCCATCCTTCAAAGGCTTATTGTGGGCTCTTCATTCCATTAAACTAAGGGAGCTTGATTTTCATTGATGAACTCACATTACCGACTATTATAGAAAGCCAAATATGTGATACTGCTTAGTGGAACCCCTGCTTTGTCAAGACCAATTGAGCTTTTTAAACAGGTATGTTTGGACAAGTAACTTCATATAGTAATATTGTTGTGTTCGAAATTGTTGTTTGCTGGCACTAAAATTGTTGTACTTCACAGCTGGAGGCACTATATCCTGATGTTTACAAGAATGTTCACGAGTATGGTAACCGTTATTGCAAGGGTGTAAGTTTACTGCTTTAGCGAGCTGCTAGTAACTTTTATTGTCAAACATAATCATCGTGAGACTGCTACCTCACGAATTATGATTACCTTCTTTGTTAATGATTCTAGGGCACTTTTGGAATTTATCAAGGGGCCAATAATCATGAAGAGCTGCACAACTTGATGAAAGCAACTGTTATGATTCGCAGACTAAAAAAGGATGTTCTCCCGCAGCTTCCAGTAAAGCGCAGGCAACAGGTACTAACATATATCAAGCAGTTCTTGGGGTTGTTCTTGTACATGAATATAAGGAATACTTGCACTTTATTATGATTAGTATTGTTATTATTTAAGTACACTAATTCCTATAACATGAGATATGCTATGTCTGGAATTCTTATTTGTGTTTATCTCAATTTCTAAAACTCATTCTCAGGTTTTCTTAAACGTGGAAGAAAAGGAGATGAAGTGTATCAATGCTTTATTCCGTGAGGTAGTAAACTTTTTAAAAGTATATGCTGCATGAAAGTGTTGACCAGCAAATTCTTTTTCTCCTGCAAATTTGAATGGTAGAAATGCTTTGAAATAAGTTGCACTGTTGTTTCAAAGTAAATTTTCTCGTGTTTATGGTGATCCTGCAAAGCCTAATCTATGTCTATAGCAAGTTAATAGTTTTCTCTCTGCTTCTACAAAGCACCTCTTCTTCCTTGAATTTATCCATTCACCCAATGAACTTTCCTGATTTTTATGCGTAACAATTAAACAAACCTCTTCTCGCATTTGATGGCTAGTGCTCTTTTCATCTTGTAGAACAGAATAGCATTACTTAAAACTTAAAAGGACAGTTTGCTATTGTCTTGTCCACCTCCATAGTTAATTGTGGAGAGATAGAGGAGGACTCAGTATGCATTACTCCCAAAACAGGACTCATTTAGTCCTATTAAAGAATAAAACAATAAAACCTTCCTAAAATAGGAGTGAATGAGTCCTATGAAACTATGAAACTCTTATTTGAAGAGATGTGCTATGTTATACTCTTATTTAGGGAATTTTCTACAGCAACAAATTAAATATGGTTTCCACTATTTTCAATTTATTCTGCAGTGAAGCCTATATTCTGCAGTCTTCCCTGGCTTTTCAACAGCTGCTAACCTCTAACCTTTAAAGCTTCCCTTCCTGTGAAATTTTCTGCTAACTTTGCATCAACTCCATCGCACTTAGGGCTCCATTTTTATGGATTTACTACCTACACATCTTGAAATCATAGCAATTCTGTTACTTTGGATTTTGGCAGTTTTGGTGGAAAGTCAAAATAGATACAATATATATTCCAAAATGATAATGAAAACAACATGCAGTTGTATTCATAGCATGGAGATTTTCCATCGAATCTTACATTCTTTCTGTAGTTGGAAATGGTCAAAGAAAAAATTAAATCAAGCCAATCCAAGGATGATCGTGAGTCACTTAAGTTCACTGAGAAGAATCTTATAAATAATGTATTTGTTGTTTCAATGCATTAAATATGTTATAGCAACTAAAAGTTCTCAAATGAGTTGTATGCAAGAAGAAATCATATGTGGTTTCAATTTTTTTTTATCACATGCTTTTTGTGCAACACTTCCTTCTTGCAGTCATATTCAGTTTTGTACTCTGAGTAGCATTTTTGTGCTTTTTCCCCAACTTGTTGATGCTGAAATGACCCATTTTTCTGCTATGACCATCAGTTTGTGCCCTTCACTTACTGATGATTGCTCAAATCTTCCAACTACAATGTTAATGTAGTTGTCAAGCTCTAAGGAGTTATGATTAATGCATCTAATGAGTTCAATCCTCCAAGCATGACACCGATAACCAGTTCGGACATCAACTAAGTTGTTTTTTTTGACATAATTTTGGCTCTGGAGAGAAGTAGTATATGTCTTTAAAGGTTAAGCTTAAGTTTCAATTCATCCTAAATGGGTTAATTAGATTATGACTTCTCATCCATTTGGTCACAGATAAGTCCAGTTTTTTATTTTATTTTTATTTATAAAATATAGAGATTTCTTTTGTATTCCTTCAGGTTCTGTGGTCTGTGTTCCTGGGACATACACAAGCTGTATTTTTCATATTCCTTGTTTTCAAGCTGTGTTTAATTCTCAGCTTTTTTCAACTGGACAGGCAGACTGCAAGTTCCTTATATTTGCCCACCACCTACAAATGATTGACTCAATACACCAATATTTGCTTGTAAGAATCTTAGTAATTACCTCAATGAAATATTTTTAGAAACTATGTTCTTACTAGATGGCATACAACGTGTATAGAAAAAGAAAGTTGGTTGCATTCGCATTGATAGCAGTACTCCAGCATCATCTCGACAAGCGTTGGTTACAGATTTTCAGGAAAAAGAATCTATAAAGGCTGCTGTGGTACTTCCAGTTCTTCCCTTCCATTTACGATGTTTTCTGCTTTGTATCCCATCCTATCTGTTTCCCTATGATCATCGTTTATATAACTTGACCTATCGAGCCATAACTGGAGTGTGATCATTATAAACAATTTTGGTTTTTCAGCTATCTATTAAAGCAGGAGGTGTTTGATTGAATTTAACAGCAGCAAGCACAGTCATATTTGCAGAGCTATCTTGGACTCCAGGTGACCTTATTCAAGCAGAAGATCGCACTCATAGAATTGGCCAGGTGATTTAGCATATTGATATATAAGAATCTCTGTTTTATTAAAAAAAAGGATCTCTGGTTTTTATCTAAGGATTTGTAACCACTACATAACTTTCGTTCTTGCACCACACTTACTACATCACTCATTCTTTGCACTGTTTTTGTTTATATATGCGTCAGTTATGTGTATGTATATATATGTATACATATAGACATGCATATCTATGTATTTACACACACATGTATATGTATTTCAACACATTGCGCAATAGCGGTATAGACTTGTGTAATCCTAAATATGTACACACATATGCATGTATGTATGTATATGAACATCCATTATTTCCATTATTTTAGATAAAGAGTTTAAACTGTGAGGAGTATACAACGTTTCTACCTTATCGCAGGTATCATCGGTGAATATATACTATTTGCTGGCCAGTGACACTGTTGATGACATAATTTGGTATGTCTGATTTTATTCAGGTACTCTACATTTACAGTGCTCGGTTAAAGTTTTTTTGTTTGTAAATTTTCGTACACATTTACCAATATACACTTGACTGTAGAACGAGGGTATAAGTTTTACAGCCCTGCTTCTTGTACACACTTATTTGTACACTTCATACACGTCTGTGAACAGGCTGTTTTTTGGCTGTTTTTGTCTATTTGTTTTATGAGTGAACAGGCTATTCTTAGACAAAAAAAACAGTTTCTTCAGAGACGTGTGTATATAGTGTGTACAAATAAGTGTACAACCAGTTTTTCCAAGTTTTATCTAAAATTGTGAACTCAATTAACTTTTTCCAGGGATGTCGTTCAAAGCAAACTGGAGAATTTGGGACAGGTTTCTTCCCCCTATCCCATTTAGCTTCCCCCTCCCAGCACACTAACACACACACACACACCTGCATGCAATGTAACCTCATTTATTAGGAGCCAGCCTTTGTGGTTCTTCGGTTCTTCCAAACTAACACTTCACGACGTTTTCGTCTGAGTGGGAACACCAGCCCAATCTGCTGCACTTTGCAGCGTTTTAACTTTTAAGTGTAATTCAGTCTGCAGTTTTCGCTGAAACACTGATACCCAAACATAGACTAAGTATATGGCCATGGTTTTGTAGATGCTCGACGGAGAAGAGAAGTCCCTAGAAGTATCAGAACAAGGTGGTAACTCAAATAAAAGTCCCATGAAACAAAAGACGCTCGATTCCTTCATGAAGCGTTGCAACTCTTCACCGTTGGACAATGAGCCTGTCCCTAAATGCTCCAGGAATTGATATCAAGCCTTAATGCTACTTGTATCCGAACATATTAGAATGTAGCTACTGGTCTCAAGCCTTACCAGTTACCGCTACTACATACATATTTTTGTATCACCAATTTTCTGCATTTTTATTATAGTGTAAAGCACTAGTATACCTCTAGATAACCTTGGTAAAAAAATTCAGTGGCACATACCCACGTATTTCCTACACTGGGCTTTGATTATCATACAACTTTACGGCTTTATTTTAAAGAACAAAATGGAAAGATTTTCAACGCAATGCAAAATAAATGTTAGACTGGCCTGTTTATAATTATTGTATAACAATAAAGCAAATTTCAGTCTATTCATATGGTATGATTAATAAAGCGAAATTAATACACATGTATACCCTATGAACATTAAAAACAAAAGAAGAGACTCGCATCAATTATCAATATCATCAGTATTTGGAAATAACATAGAAAAATTCAGAGAAAGGTCTACCTTTATGTGATTTTGCAACCAAACTCTAGAAACAAAAGTCCTCACAAATACATAAAGAATTCGTGCCAAAAACATTTTGGTCAGACTATTTTGCATGGAGTCATCACTCAAACTCGTGAGAAATTTATGCCAATTCCGTTATTCTTTTTAAGTAACTATTCACTATTTCAATTCAATCCACAAGAAATATATACTACGTATATACCAGTACTCCGTATATGATTAAAATAAACACTGCAAACATTTAATTCTGTTGAAATATTTACAAATGAAAAAAGAAAGAAAAGAATTGAATTGAACAAATAACGGTCAAAGCAAAGCCTAATTAATTGTCAAGTCGATGGAGGAACTTTATCATCGGTGTTTGTGGATTTGCGGAAGAGAAACTCCAGGTTTTGAGTATTCCAGGACAACTCAATGGAGTCTCCTTCTTTCAAAAGCCTCCGTCTCACAAAATTTCCAGACCAGTTGTTAGTCAGCACATAGCTTTTGCTTTTCCACCGCAATAGGGTCAGCTCGTATTTCTCGTTGCGGTCCATGTCCGTCACCTTCACTCTCAGTCCCATCCCGCTATGGCATGATCTCTTCTTCTCCTCATCCAGAGAAGGCAACACATACCTATCCATGATCTCTGTCTTAGGCAGCAAAAGCCGAGACGATGAGTTCACGTCGCTCGCGCTCAGCATCTTCTTCACCCACAGCCCATCCCCACCTCCTTCTTCGAGACCCGCTCTCGGAGAAGGGCTCTGGTGCACCTTCTCATCTCTGCTTTCTCTTCTTGGTGATGCCTTAGTTCTTGACCGCTTGGATTCGGGCGTCGCCTCTGAGCATGAAGACGACGTCTTTCTTTTCCAAGTGGTCGGAGCACTGGTACAGGAACCTGGCTGTGACAATCCAAGTGTCAGGTTTCCACCTTCATCTTCCGGAAGGAGGCTGCCGAGACTATCGATAAGCTTGGTGGGAGAGGGCCGGGGTGCGTGCAGAGAAAGGCAGAGTTCGGTGGAAACGCTCTCAACTGGGACTGCCTCCGCCGCCACCTCCGGGGCTGCAATGGTGATATCATCTCCGACTGCTGCTTTTTCCTTCTCATCCGATGTGGGAAAGAAGTCGAAGTAGACCGGGACTGCCCTCGCCGCCACCTCCGCGGCTGCAATGGTGATATCATCTCCGACTGCTCCTTTTTCCTTTTCATCCGAGGTGGGAAAGAAGTTGAAGTAGAATCGCATGATGGTTTATTTCTGATTTTTATTTGCTGCAGCTAGAAGTATATATAGGTATGTAAATATTTGATCGATGAATTGAAGTGTAGCATCTGGGTACATATATATACCCACCGGTGGCTTAGTGGCTGACCATATTTAGGAAACTTAATTAATTTTAACTTGAGAGTTACGTTTTTATTTTCGGGTTTAGTTTGTACTGATCTGAGCTGGAGTGGGAGTGATTTAATGTTTCCAAACTTGATGGCATCATTTATCTTATGCTTACACACGGACAGACGGAATCACCAAGCTAGTAGCAATATTATCACTTAATTAAGTGCGGAGTAATTTAATTAGTAATTACCTTCAATAGGACTAAATGGAAACATAATTACACAAATAGAATTAAAACCCAATTCTTTTACCAACAGGACTAAACATTAATACGGAGTAGAACTTTAATATCCCTAATCTAATTAATTGCCTCGTAACGATTAGTAACGATTAGTGAGCTGTACGCTTGCTCGTTTTGACAATAGTTTAGAAATTTGTGGCATGAAAGATCAATCTGGTTCTCTGAATTATTGTACTCTACGCCGCGAGAGTTAGTATTGACATGCATTGTTCAATTAAATAATTTTCATCTAATTAAGCCCGATTAGCTCCGAAAAGAATAGACTACTCTAGAGAGACAGGTGAAAAGTCCATAAAGTTTTTTGAAAGATCAATCCCTGCTTCCTGTTGTTATTTGTTAGACAGATCCCTGTATTTTAGCTTTTTATTTGCATCATTAGTTTTCCATAAATCAAATCTTGCACATCGCATTTATTTTATTTATTTTAATCGTTGAGTTTATTTAATTCTTAATTCCCCTTTTCCGTCCTTGGACTGTGTTAACCCGTCGTATTTATCGGCACCTGGAAAAATAGCTTGGGCTAAGAGACATACATCCCAAATTCTAGTGTGATGATCATTTGATCTTCCGAAAAAACAATTGGCTAGAAATTTTAGGAAAATGTGTAAGACCGGATGTTGACATGGTTCACACTTACTTTTGAAGTATCGACGTTGAGACGTCCGATCATTCTTCTCCACAGTTCATAACCTATTGGGGATTCATAAGTTATTTGTTCTTCAAACAAAGGTAGGCCAAAATGCTCCGCAAATTCTTGTTTAGTCAAAGAGTGTTCTTCATTGAACAATCGAAATTGATTTTATTCTTGGTATGGTCAGTATCATCTTTCAAGTGCTCAACAAAACCAGCGGCGGAACCAGACAATAATTTGAGGGGGTGCTCTTATATTTTTTTTTTGAAAAACATTTTTTTATTAGGATAAAATAAAAACGAGTGAAAAATAATTATTAATACATATAGAGTGAGGTTCTAATAAAAATAGTTATTCCCGTGAAAAATGAGAACGGGCACATTTTTTACTCGTTTTGGTACACTAGTAGATATTTATTTTACACTTTTTCACAATTAGAGAAAATTTTGATATATTTATCAAATTGTCACCGAGTTTTTGATAAAATATAGTGCATTGTTGACTGATTTTGACTCATCGGATCTCAAGTTAAATGCACAAGATTTATTCTCGATCAATTTTCATGATAAGAACTCTTTTTATTTGATCCGAAACTTATATATATGTATATGTAGTGTGTTTCAAATAAAAATACTATTATACTAAACAAAAGGTAAATACTTATATTAACTTAAAGTAGTTTTAGAATTATTCTTGACATTAAATGACAACGTCCGTATATGTCATTATTAGAAGAAGAAATGATTAAAATTAATTTGAATTGAAGAAATGAGAATTTAAAATAAAAGATATAGAAATTCAAAAAGTGTGATTTAAACAACATTACATCCTAGAGTGATTTAATTGAACATAAATAATTACCAAATGGGCTAAAGTCTAAAGAAGCAATAATGGAGAAAGCAAAAAAAATATTGTTGCTCCTAAGAATTGAACCCGGGCTATTTAAGTAGATAAAACTCTCTCAACCTCCAAGCTACCATTTGAACTATCACAACTCATACATTCAAATAGCGACTCCACTTTAATATATGAATACTTTCTGAACCGGGGCTGAGATATATACATATATATACATACAGAATCACCGCCGGAGAAGGGGGAGCGTCGGCACCGGCTCGCCCCCCTAGTTCCGCCACTGAACAAAACTATAGAGCTCATACACTAAACAAGGATATCTGTATATGTCCAATAATACATATAAAAAATTTTGAGCATGCTAATCCTTGTAAATATATCACACATGATCGATATCCTCATTCCACGACATAATTGACATCAGTGCACATAAAACAAGATAGTTTTACCTCCCTTGCAGATTGTTCAACAAAGTGAGTCTGGTGTTCCTCTGTAGCAAACTCAACCTCCTCTAAGCCTAACATTGGTGGAATTGCTCTTGGACCCCCACTATAACAAAGTACAATTTTAGTAACATATGCAAAATGTTGAAGTAGGGGCAAAAAATGTCACAATACATCAAATGTAACATTTTTAGTATGCTGCATCCCACTGGTGTTAAATAGATGTATTATATCAATTTTTCATTTTATTGTAGCATTTCTTGGTACAATAATATTACAATATATATTATATTGTAGCAGTTTCTACTTTGTTACACAATGAATGCTACAAGCAATAGATACTTTTTTGTAGTGCCCTAGAAGAGGAGCCTCTTTGTCTCTTTGGTGCTATTTGAAATGGTTTTTGGTGAATTTAGAACTTTGAGTGGAATCTTCAGACTTGGGGTGGAAGGAGTTAGGATTTTGTGATTTGGAGGTTTTGGGTGGGATTTGAGTGTGTAGGGTGGAAGAGAATGTTGAGGAGATGAAGAAAATGGATTTAGGATGTTTTCTTTTGGATTGTATTTTGCCGGTCTAGTCTGGTCTGTTTGAGTCTGGTCTGATAATGTTTGGTCTGAACTGGTCTGATAATGTCTGGTCTTTGTGTATTTTATAACTGTCAAAGTCTGGTTTGTTTAAGTCTGGGACTGAAAAAGAAAACATCAGTGATCTGCAAATCGAAGAACAATTCTCGTAGCTAATACTGGTCTCAAGTACATAGTACATACAATAGTACATATTTTTGTATCACCAATTTTTAACGAAATTGAAAGATTTTTAAGGGGATGCAAAATGAATGTTAAACTGGTCTATTTATAATTATTGTATAACTTAGTTTACTAGTCATTGGCTCAAGTAAGCTCAATTCAGGATCAGCGAATCTGGTTACTTCGTTAGAGGTGGTAAGTTCTAAGTCTGGTTCAAGGGCAGACGATAGATATTGGGTTCTTTGTCAGATTGTACTATGTTTTCGTTCAATTCTCTCTTAATTATTAACATAAGCCACGTGCTTCCAAAAAAAATTATTGTATAATAATAAAGCAAATTTCAGTCTGTATCGATGTAATTAATAAAGCCAAATTAAAACACATGAATACCCATGAGCATTAAAAATAAAAGAACAGACTCGCATCAAAATCATCAAAGTCTGTATCGATATTTGAAAATAAGTACTACGTATACAGAAAAATTAAGAGAAAATGCCATCTCTCTATGCATCATTCAATCCATTGAAATGTAATACTATCTAGTAGAGTACTTTTTTATATAAGACGATAACTTTCTCGTAAGGTGTTAGGAGAATTATAGATAAGCTCTCATAATATACCTAAAAAAGAAATTAATCCATCCTACTAAAAGGACACTCAATTGAGTCTATGAACTACGGAGTAATAAAAAAATTCAATTTGTCATTTTAGCAGGTTACTTGCAAATTCTCTGGTAACCATTTCAAAATAATGAATGCCACATCATCTCAAAATAAAATTCTTAAGAAGATTAGAATGAATAAAACAAAAGGCAAAAAAAGTAAGCAACACGAAGATTACTTCCCGTATAACCAAAGCCGGCATCCCGGCGGCCTCCTTTAATTTACCACCTTGCCGGCAAGGAGGCAACCTCCTTCCCCTAATTCCTATAATCAGTTGACTTCTCTTATCTATTTATTAACGTAATAATAGTGTATAGTTCTACACCATTATTTATTAGTTTTCGTTTTATGTTTAGCAAAAATGTTCATTCCCTCTCTTCCAGTGGCGGACTCATAAACTCAGAATCATGAGTCCCTACTTTAATGTAATTCTAATTAATAAAAAAGTAGTAAAAAGAAGATTTAAAATATTAAAATAGCATAATGTTTCATAGTTAACATATATCATTAAAAAATTAAGATAGTCATAACCAACAAAATGATTAGACATAACTTAGACTTAATGTTTGATGTTTTACACTTATATTCAATTGGTTGCACTAAATTTATTTTGAGTTTTTTCTATAAACTTATTCTGTAGAAAAATAATTTAATCTTACTTTTACCATAAAAGATGTGTAAAATTTATGTATTGTTACAATTAATTTCATTTTTTCATTATACTACGGGGTAGTAGGTTTCCATTTATGTAACTATAAAGATAAATCAATGACATGGTGGCTTAAAACTAGATCACTTGTTAATCTAACATAATTATAATAATAATAATAATAATTGTTTAGGCTTTTCTTTTATTATTGATTTACACAACAATTTTAAAGATATTCCAAAATTTTAAAGAAATGTCCACTATCAACTAGAACCCTTTTGGTAACACTGAAATCGGTTGAATCGGCTGATTCTACTGAAATTTATGAAGTTCTAATTCAAGTGGCTGTATTGACTGTTTCTGTTGATTATCAAAAATTATATTTAAAATATATTATATTAATAAAATAAAGAAGAAATGATATGAAAAATTAGATAAAATGGTCATCTACAACAACTTCAGTCTTCAGTCAATACAAATAGAAAAGTAACTTCAACCTTATTTTTTCTTATTATTACACAATTTAGCGCGCAAAATCAAAAGTTACATGTTTGGTTAAGAAGTTGGTTGATAAGTCTGATAAGTCGAAAAACAGAGTCACTAAACGGGCACTAAAATTTTATAAAGTTAATGTCCTCTATCAACTAAAAATAATGGGCATGCATATGAGAAATCAAATTTAAAAAGCCTAAATTTGAAAATTTCGATCCAATTACTTCA